TTGTTTTCTTAATGGGGTGATAAACACTGAGTTGGGGTGATAAACATCCCCTACTGGGCTCCTCAGAAGGGGAGGAACCCCTCCTTAATCATAATGTCCTGTATGGGTCTGGCCATGTCCCCCTCAGCTCAGATCCATGGAAGGGAAGGGAGGACTGCTCTAGCGCCCCCCCGGCTTCTAGCTTGAGCCACTGCAGGCATGTGCTTGCATTTCTGGCATGTCTGTCTTCTTACAAACTGATTTAGCCTAGCTGGGTTAGACTAACCTGCAAAGATGGAATCAGTTCAGGCTCATGCTTTTTGAATGTCTGTCCCTAGCCTCCGAAACAGGTTTAAGAATGTCTGTGCATAAACTAGTACTGGTTTAATTGCATCAATTTAGTTAAACCAATAGACCAGCTCATGATATACATGTTTAGGCCTGTAAATACATTTCCTTGTTTTCATAAGAGAGCATAAATCGAGCTTGTTGGTACTTAGAACTACCAACAATCAGTCCCCTTACTTAGGGGCCTCTAATTGGATTTAGGGACATAGGGTGTCTATACATGAACTGGGAGCCCGCTCCAATGTGTTGTAATTACAGTGTGTCAGAGCAGACAAGCCTGCTGGAGTACTCCAGCCAGCCTCCGCATCTTGTGTATCAGCATCCCCTTATTTCAAAATGACGATGGGGACACTGATACATGAGACGATCCAGGCACTTTAATTAGAGCAGCTCTGACAGCTGCTCTAATTAAAGTCCCCTCCCCCCACACCCAGAGCACATGTAAAAATGCCCTTAGGTTTAGGTGTAGGTTGTAGCCATGTTGGTCTAAGGACATAGGCAGACGAGGTTATTTGGGTGAATCTGATATCTTTTATTAGATCAAATTTTATTAGGTTTAAGCATGTTTTTAAAAATCTTGTTGTAAATCTGTTCTCCCCTAGCCACTCACACCCTGTGAAGAGCTCCTAATGCTTCATCATATATTAAAATACAATATATCTTAAAACCCATGTTTTAGGAAAGAAAATCAATATTAGGAAAACTCAGTAAAATATTAAAGAGATGTTAAAGTTAAAATGAATGCAAAATCCATGTATTCATAACTCCATTTAGATTATTTAAACCTTAAGGAATGTTTTAAGTCTGATTTATTTTGTATTCTTTATGCTGTCTGTTTATTACATGCATTTTACTTGGTTTGTAAAATTAAAATCAGTTCATTCCAGCTTCAGCTTAAGACCACTCTAAGCTTACGTGACTATGAGATCAGAAACTGGCCTTCTCTGTACAGATTTCAGTATATGTTATGTACCCAACTAGTTATGCATCTGCATGTCAGAATCCCTGTGTTAGAAAACATTGCTTAGTGCACCTGAGCCGTCTCCCATTTTGGATAAAATAATAGAAAAATTTGCCAAGGGCTTTCTCTGTCTCAGTTTAGCTAGTGCCAATGTCTGTATACCTTTGGTAAACAGTCTTCAGTTTAGGAGAGGGAACAGGGCTGTGTTGGTGACGTTGATTGATGACTTTCTTTTGACTGTAGAAATAGAAGTCATTGGTCGTGAATGCCCTCACAAATTGCAGGTCTCCTCTGCAGCATTCCATGCAACTAACCATAGATACTGCTTACACAGCTCAGAGGTTGCACAACTCAAAGACCATCCTCAATGTTTGCAATAACTGAGTGTGTTTGTACATATACATTGTGTACGTGTATAAAAAACTGTGTATCCATGTCTTTATATACATTTAATTTTCCAGCTTATATTTTCTTATCGGTTTTTTGTTTTGCTTTTCCATTGGTTTCCTAGTGCTGCTTGAGTCACTTTTGTATTTAAACTTTATTTTTTAGTTAAGCAATCAATAAAAGTTTAAATCAATCATGCCATTTTCTTTTTGAAGTTGCGTAGCTGTTCACTTTTGAAAAAATTAAGATTCTGAACTTGCTTAGGAGGACAAAGCAATTTGAAATGCTGGAATGTATTATATGTACAGAACTGTTGCACATGGTGCTTAAGTTGATCCCAGATGTAAAACCAATCCATTTTTTCATTCCATATTTCTCTCCATCCCCATTTCTGGTTCTGATTTGGACAGTTGATACTGCTTCTCTGAACAAACACTACTTAACATAAGCAAAGCTTGTTAAATCAGTCACTCTGTTTGGAAAATCATCTGCATTTCCATTTCCAAATTCATCAGTACTCTGGCTAAAATTTCAAGATAATATTGGCTTCCAAACATACAAGATAGTCTACCTAGAAAAAGCCATTTCCTTGCAGATTTTTTGCCCTATTTAGTGCTTTTCACATTCTGCACATATTGAAAGCAAGGACTGAGGCAGGTGGAGAGGAGTATTTCCTCTCCACCATAAATTAAATAAACCCATCGCCCAATGAATTGCGAATGCTACAGTGTCCCTGTGCAGTATTTTTCATTCATGTATCCAAATTTGTCCCTGACTCTCACCATGGACATCAATGAACTGTAAAGTGTTGCAAACTCAAGGCAGAATTTGACTTATAGAGCATTACTCTGTTTGCTATAAAGAATCCTGTGAATCCTGTGTAAGCTTTGCTGAGAATGTAGATTGTTCTGAAGTTAGGGCAACAGAAAAACTAGGGTGAGAGATTTCAGACTAAACCTTTTTTGGGGAACCTAGAGTGGAATGCTTTATCCTAATCCATTTAAATAGAAGAGAAAAAAACCCACCCTATCTGAATACATATACAACAGTATATAATTCAGTATACACACCATGGTAGAATTTACAGCCAGTAAACGCTTAAATGCTATGGACAGAAATATAACAGAGATAGTAAAGACATGCAAATAAATTCCAGCAGGCAGTCAAAAGCATATGATATTAAATCATAAAGGCCAAACACAATTCAAAATAATTGTCACATTATACTGATTTCAGACTTGCAGTTGAGGAGTTTTTTGCATCTTTTTTCTCTTTTACTTATACCACTTTGCTTTAAATTGGTCAGTGTTTTATAATTCTGTTTGACAGAAGCTCTGAAGAGGGCATGTCTATAAGCACACATATGCATAGGCAACTTGTGTAATCCAGATTTTCTTTCTGCAAATATTTTTGTTATGCTAAACACAGATTTTTTTCCACTCCTGTCTACCTTGAACATGAAATACTGTGTGATGTTTGCATATGCAGAAAGACTAAGGTCTCCTGCTTTTGACTTCAGTGGGCACATCTATACATTCATTAATGCGCTGTAATCATGGCGCATTAAGTTTAGTACTTGTAATAACAGGTACTAACTTAATGTGCTGTAATTGGTGCTACTGCGCATTAGTGCAAATGAAAACATTTTTGTGACACTTAATGTGCATTAGACTAAGTCTACCACGTTAATGTCTAACGCAGATTTAGCATCTAATGTAGATGCACCCATTGAGTACAGATATAGGGCTGTGGGGCTTAAAGTTGCTTCTCTTAAAGTCTGTAGTAAAACACCTGCTTGTACAAAGCTATGCCTCTACTTGCTGTTTTGTTTTGTTTTGGTTTGGCTTTTTTAATAAACATCTTTATGGGTCTTCATGAAATGACTGGGTTTTACCAAAATCATCACAAGCCTATCTTCAATGTCATTAAAGAATAAATAAATAAAAGCAAATGCCAAAATTGTAACTTTAATTTAGAAGAGAAAGCATGTTCTACATGATAGGAAATAGCTCTGCATTTTACTCAAACTATTTTCAAATAGCAAAGAAATGAGGAAGAATCCAAAATCGATCATTGCATTTGTGTATATGAATAGTTGTAGCTGATGACACAAAGAAGCTCTTCTATCTTCCACTACAAAGGCAATAAACATGACAATCCTTGGAGACTTCTTTGTTCAAGTCAAATGTGTTTCTTCTGTTTTTATAAACTCATTGGCATTTATTCAGTGGAGAAGTGCTATTTATTGGCTTAGCTTGTATATCTAAAGCCATCAAGATCATTGCCTCTTAAATAAGCTCTAAAAGATTTTTATGGGACCATGGTGAAATAACTCATAAATGCCTTGAGTAGTTTGGGAGATAAAACTAAGAAAAGGTTGAACTGAAAATTACACAATATCAAGTGCTACTTAGTGCTGTGTTGGAGACTGCCTTTAGTGTTCCCTGTGTAATTTTCCATTGATTGGTTGTAAGTCATTAATGAATGCTGTCTTGCAAAACTGAGAAGTTAGAATTTGAATGCTCTCTTGCCTTTGCATACCTGGTATGGCCTTAATCACAACAATATTTTGGGACCATATTTGCTTTTTTATTCTGATATATCCTGTAAATTTATTTCTGACTTTGTCAGCCAGCCCTCACTACTTCAGCTAGGAAGCAGGAGAGTGGGGCCAGCCTTGCCCTCTGAAGCAGACAGCACAGCCCAGCCCAGCCAGAGAGCATGCCAGGATGCTGGGGGACTCTGATTTAACCCAAACTGGCAAAGGTTCTGGGACAGACAATGCACAGACCCGTTTGAGCTAAATCATTTAAGTCTGATACTACATTCAAACAGGTTTATCTTACACCAGTTTCAGCCATTTTGAAACTGGTTTATGTGCACTGTGCTTCTGTTCTGTTATAGGTTTAGGCCAGTTTCTGATCACTTAAACCAGTTTATTTGTAACTTCTGTCCCTAGCCCTGCTGTTCCAGTGGTGAACCTCTAGCAAAACATGTAGGAATCATATGAAATAGACAAACAATGATGTGTCAAGTCACCATCACAACACAGGACTGATTTCTTAATGCTTCTGATGTGTGTTCCTCATTATTCATCTCAGTATTATGTTTAGCTTTTTGATTGCTGCCCTAAACTAGACCGATATGCTGTTTCTGGAGCATGGACAAAAAGTATAAACTGTAGTATTGGCAGACAGGTTCTCTCTTATCAGTTAAAATTATTGTTCTCTGCTGTTGCATCTGATTCCATAGCCAAGAGGGAAAATAATAAATCTTGACGTCTGTCTCTCAATAAATTATAGACAATTTTCTCTTTATTTTCTAGACAGAATCATGAATAAACTGGTGGACAAGCAGGACCAGATGATACCATGAAGAGAAGTTTACAGGTCCTCTATTGCCAACTGTTTAGTAAGTAAAAATTTGCCTTTAGTTACTGTAAGAAATGTATGATTCAGCTCCTTATAACAAAATAGTAATCTGTGGAAGCACAACTGCATTTTAAGATGTGGATGAATTGGAAAGAGTCCAGT